GAGGGTGCTATATAGAATACTGACCTGTAGAGAGTGCTATAAAGAATACTGACCTGTAGAGAGTGCTATATAGAATACTGACCTGTAGAGAGTGCTATATAGAATACTGACCTGTAGAGAGTGCTATATAGAATACTGACCTATAGAGGGTGCTATGTAGAATACTGACCTGTACACGGTCAAAATTGTCTAAGATTGTTACTCATTGTCAATGGGAAAAGTGGCCGTTTTATACGGTTGAGCGTCTTACATAATATCATTAAATATAACCCCCCCCAAAAAAAAAATTCAAAAAAAAAAAAAATAAATATCCAGCAAGTGGTACATATAAATTGGCCGTTTGTACAGGTGTCCTCCGTAGGTGGCCTTTAGAGCAGGTTCAACTGTAGTTATCTAATAGTCCAGAAGATCTTATAGGGGCCAACATGATGAAGAACTTCAGCTCGTTCATTGTGCAAAGACTGCAAAATAATACATTGTGTTTCATCGTGAGCTAGATCATTGTGGCTGGATCCTGACAGACATGTCAGTCCCGGTTTTAAAAAACAACAAAACAGTGCACAGTTCGATTCCATTCATCATCATTGTCTTCATTATCTTCGTCAAAACAGGCATGTGCATGTTAAGTATTATTATCATCGTCTTCATCACTATTATCATTAATATCATCTTTGTTAAAAAATCGTTAGGAGGGTGAAAATGGTGAAATGGTATAGGTTTAAAGTAAAATTAAAGCCCATATCAAGGGACGGGTCAAACAAAGGATGTTTCATTATCAGGAATTAGGTGGGTCAGACGGGACTCAGTGTAGCGAGGAGGTCAAGGGGATAATTATGTAGAAATCAATGCCAGTATTGCTAGCGTGGTTAATTATTTCTCAAAACCTATGCGAGTACTCTAGCCGTGAGTACTCTAGCCGTGAGTACTCTAGCCGTGGAAAGGTTAAGAGGCGTTTGCTTCGACTAAAGACTGAATACTGGGTAATTATCAAAGCGCATAGAGTTTGGTGTCGAACGAGTGTATGCGCTATACAAATGCTATTTATTTATTTTCATTATTAATAATATTATTGTACGGTACTCATTATCTTTATTTTCGGAGAATTAGGCCTGCTTATTGTCTCTGCATTCGTTAGTGTTTTATATTATTAGTATTATAATATGTATAGTTAATATAAATACAGGCATCTTTATCGTTTATGATATAATTATTGTGCGTTCTGCACTTGGAAGTGAAACGAATCTGTTAACTTGGAGAAATAGAATTAATCGAACCATAAAGATAACAATAACAAGAACAATAATATTATTATAATGAACAACCATTTTGATGAGCCAATTTTAGCGATAGCTCCGCAGCAGCCTCTGTTCCCTTCACTGCGGAACTGACAACGTCACAATTGTAACAGCAGACGCGTCATCATTCTCTTCCCCCGCAAAAGACGGGGCTAGTAAAAGATCGGACCAATTTCCGCCATGACTCCGGCCAGGAAATCACAAATGGGTCGTGTGGACGATAAATGATCTGTTGGAGTGTTTCGCGGTTTCCGCTCCTATTTTGGCCGGGCTTTCGACCTGGGGTGTCTGCATTTCACACCGACAGGCGAGTCGTATCTTGCGTTGTTCGTTTATTGTGCGAAGAAAGCTTGGGCTGGCTTCTTATCAGGCTGCAGGCACGTAATTTGAACAATGGCAAATTTGATTGGTCGTTTAGGGGGGAGTGATTTTGTGTGTGTATGTGTGTGTGTGTGTGTGTGTGTGTGTGTGTGTA